TCTAACGCGGGAATAAATGTAGTCATCAGCTTCAAAAACCGGTTTTGAAGCTCCATAGTTGCTTTGCCTATCAAAAGTAGCCTATTCCCCTCTTGTTTGTCTTTTTGACGTGTGATATTTTTATGGAGATGTAAAGAGATATTCTGTAGTAAAAGATAGAACTGGATATTCAAGTCAAATAACATACTCTTGTAATCATGTAAAGAACACTGTATGGCATCGAAGCTGCCAGAACCAATTCTGCTGGTAGAAGTGGTTATTTTTGTCCAATTTGGGTACGATTCACTTAACAATAATTAAGCAAATTGTTTAGATGAATAAGCCATGAAATTAACACAACCTTTGATGTTGCATATTAGCATACGTTTGTATACTGCTACACAACTTCTCCTACTTCGAGTACATACTTCTATATAAAACATTGCATGATTGGCTTAAATACGATATACAAATGACAGTTGGATACAGAATGATATACCACTGAGTTAGGATATCATCGATCGAGAAGAGAATCTTCTCAGATCAAATCAAGAATTATAAGAAGGGGAACTTAATATTAAGCGTTCTCTCAATTGATTAGGTTCCCAGAGAGAGAATAGAACTGCTATTAATATAAATGGTTCATTTACTTATATATTGATATAATTATACTGCTGGTAAAGAGTATAAAGAAATGGTGTATGAATTAATGGATACCTATCTTCTACAACCAAATATACAAATATTGATAAGACATTTTGTATTTGGGGTCGTAATTTATTCATTACAAAGATAATAAATAAATGATCACTATTATGTTCTATTGCCAATTACACTTGACAAACAAGTATGCATCTTTTAAAGTAACCGTTGCACGATCTGATAAATAAGTGTCTCGTAATACTAAAGATTTATTAGAGTATTGATGCTCCCGGTCCACTGATATGGGACAACGTTAACTGCAAACAATTCTAACGAGTAGTATCCATTTAATCCAAGGCGAGAAACAAAGTATAGATCTATTGCAAAACCAGAAAGGTTGACTCATCATTAAAACTCAGGAGAGTTGTGCAATATAAAAAGGTTCAATTATTTCATAGCAGCAGAGTTCATTTAGTCTATTTTTACCTCTAATAAAAATATACTTTTATCTCATTACTGTTCTATGTAATATTTTGTCAAATGCCACAATTTTGTTTGTTCCTTCTCGACTTCTGGTGTACGTTATGATGTTGTGATGGACGATCTTCACATGGTTATTTGCAGTGTTGTCGTAATCGAGGCTATATACTTAATATATGACTCTATCTACACTTCCTAAATCTTCCATTTGATAATCCTAAATATAACTCTTATCAATACTTTATATTAAATACTGATCATTTACTTTATGGATAGGCTTGATCTCATATCGTCCTTGATACAAGTATAAGGCACACATTTAAATAATAACATTAATAGGAAAACATATGAAGGTTACATCAGCCACGTTGAGGTGCCACAGCTATCTTTAATAAGAACTTCATTATCCCCTGAATATTGTGGTACAAGACATAATGTGCCACCAAGCTTAAACCTGATAAATTTCAAATTTGTCTCGATTTTGTTTTTTCGCAACTGCGATGTTGGTGATGAGTATTTTTTTTTTTTTTTTTTTTGGCAAGAGTACCCTACTCCCCTTGACATTAGGCAAAAAATAAAAAAAAGTTCAGCATTGTAATGTTGGCCGGGAATTGACAGTCTCTGATCGTAAGATGTTGATGAGAGATATATTTAGACTGGTTTCAGGCTGTAGCTTGAATAGAGGTACGCTTTCTATTGTGTATTCTAACGGATTACGTCACAATGAAGTCGAAGTTTCTGATTTATGTCTTAGTTTAATCCCTTTTGAGTCAAACTGGCTTATCCTGCGCTTTATTCTGAAAAGGCTAATAACGACCAAAAATTATAAAATGGAAAGAACTATTGTTTTATTATTGCTGTGTAATTCGTTAATAAACTCAATTGAGTTACACAAAAGATCTTTTAGCTAAGCTCAAATTCTTCACAGCATTGAAGGTCAAATGAATGCTTATGTGTATTTATAAAAAAAATTCTATTCATGGTCTAAGTCCGAAGGGATTCTAACCTTTCTGGGGGGGAAAGGTACTTTTTCTCCGCATATTTTTTCACGGTTTGCACCACTTCCCGACCGTCACTACACTTGCTGGAGGCTTAAATGTATTCAGTTGCACGCCGAAAGTATCTTCTAATTCTGGCAATGCTTTCTGCCTTATCCAAAAATGCATCCATGTTGCTATCCAAAGACTTGAAAGTGTAATCGCATTTGAGGCGAGCCTCCCGCTTTGCTCCACCCCAGTACATTTCGATCGAATTACACTCACAGTGGTACTTTGGATATAGTTCGAAGATGTGGCCAGCATCTTCTACTACTTCTTGGAGTGCCGGTTTTTGATTACAAAAATCTGGGCGAGAACCCAAGAAGTGACGAGCGCAACAGATCTTATCAGAAGATATCTCGGGTGAACCGCAATCCAACTTCCACGCTTTGCCATTGATGTCATGACCAATCCACTGATTTCTCTCCTCCAAGATAGTTTTGACTCCCTTGAAGTACCGTACAGTGTTGGACTTAGTACGGCCTTTCTTATCTCTACTGGTATCAACCTTGTCATAAAAGAAGGACTGCTCCAAAACCTCTCCATGTACTCCATCATTCTTCTTGACCAAATATCTCTGTATGCAACCACATCCTCACGTTCATGACCATCAAAATAGATCATTTTCTTGTTCTTTCTATAGGCGTATCCCCATTCGTACAGGTACTTGGTAATTGTTGTTTCAGCAACAGATCTATTAGCAACACCCAAAAAAGAAGGAACAACAACATCATCAATAAATTTCTTAATTACAACCAAGGATCGCTCAGCAGGTTTGGTCTTTCTCATCTCTTCCAGGATCATCGTCTTAACGTCTGAATTATTAAGAAAAGACTTTCTCTTGCTATGAACGCCTTGACTATGTGAGAAATTCGAGAGTGATAATAGCGAATTAAGAATAAAATGTAAAATTTAACAAAGTGAAATTATCAAACTGCAAAAATAAACTAAAGCTTTATTAAACAAATAAAAGGGGGTCTTTATATACACATTATTTCAGACATTGATCACAGATGGGCTGATGACGGTTATGGGTAGATTTATCCAGATAATACTCGGATGTAATAATCCCATATAGAAAGACCATAATGAGATGTCAATAACAATAACAATAACATTCATTCTTAAACTGTGTATATCGTGTAGCACAACATTCAGGGGAAAATATAGTTCTTATTAAAGATAGCTGTGACACCTCAACGTGGCTGATGTAACCTTCATATGTTTTCATATTATGTTATTATTTAAATGTATGCCTTATAATTGTATGAAGGATGATATGAGATCAAGCCTGTACATAAAGTAAATGATCAGTATTTAATATAAAGTACCAATAAGAATTATATTTAGGATTATCAAATGGAAGATTTAAGAAGTGTAGATAGAGTCATATATTAAGTATATAGTCTCGATCACGACACTATGGTCAGAACGTTTGCGTTCCTGCAAAAATTTATTAGACCACTTGATAATTGTCATAGCCCGATGAGAAACGTTATTATCATGCCAAAACTGTTTTGCCGCACTGCGTGAAGCTTCGCCCTTGTTCATTCCTTCGAGTCTTCTCATAAAATAACAGTTGATTGAAGAATAGCGAACAAAATTGTACGACAAAACCTTACTATTTTTGTTTGACTTATTCATAATAGGCTTAAGTAAATCCTGCGGTTGTAAAAATACTTCGTTGATTTGAATCAATTCCTTTTGACTACGGCTCAAAACAACCTCATGCTGTGTAGCAGCAACGGCGAGAGGTACAAAACCGAAATGGTATTATAAAATGAATGTTCCGTAGAGTTTAAAAAAGACGTGGGTTGATTGAGTTTAAAGTGAGCACCAAATCAATTAATAGGTTTTGATTAGACCTTTGTTATCGTATTGTTATTAAGGGAAAGAGAAAGGATCAATCAAGAGTTCGTAAAAGAATCAATGATTATATTGTATGAGTTATTAAGTTAACGAGAAGCTTTGATCAAGACTGATCTAAGTATGTAATGTTACTTCAAAAGAGAGTTGTTTTACTATACAGGGTCTTAATTACGTTATGATGGTTCCGGTTAAGGATGTTTCTTAACGAATTTTAATAAAAGTAAATAATTTTGTCTGACGGAGTAAAGTGTGTACTGTTTCTGATTATAAAAATAATAGAAGGTGTTCACACAAGGACGGAAATATATAGAATGGTTCCAGATAACGATGTTTTCTATATATTTATACAAAAGAGAAAGTAGATATAGAAGAGTTTTTATTGAGACCGTTTAAACTACGTATGTTACTATTCAAAAGGAAAGTTGTTTACTTTACAGGATCTCGAGATTTACTGAATGGTTCTTATAAATTAAGATGTTTTCAAGTAAGTCTTTATAAAAAAAAAGAAACGAAAAAAAGAAAGAAAAAGAAAAGGAAGTAAGAGCAAATATGGCTCGGTTTGAAGTAAGTTTTGTGAGAGCAAAATATGTCTGAAGTTTATTAAAAAAAAGGAAGGGGTTAGTTATAGTTGTTTTTAAGAATGGTGTATCCATCGTACTTTGAAAGCTCTTAGTTAATATCTATGTGTGGTTAAAACGTTTTCTTACAGTGTTTTGCACAACGTTTATATAAACAAAAACGATATCGAAGACGCAATTTTGGATGGAAGCTTGGATTTTGAAGGATTTTTGGAGACAGACCGTCGAAACCAATTTGAAAATGAAGTGACTTCGAACCTCCGCTTCCTTCCCTCGGTACCGATGCTACCATTGATGCTGCAGGTATGGGCCGTATTAAGGCAATGTCTATCTTGAGAAGAAACAACATCATGAGGGGAACAGATGTACTTGCTTAGTTTTTAAAAGGTTTTATTATATTAAATATATTTTTTGTTTAATTATTGTTGTCAGTAGAAGATGAACCAAGATTGATATCACTATCGCCTCTTCGAATGGCTGCAAATCTATTCATAATAGTTTCCATATCAGAGATACGTTTACGTTTATCCTCTTCCAAATCGGCCTCTCGTCTACTTCTTGATTCTTCTAACAGTCGATATCTCTCTCTGGACTCTTGTAGTCTTCTTGTTTGCATGTCTTCCAATGCAGTTTGTCGATTACGACTGACCCTTTGCAACATACTGTCAAGGTACCGAATTCTTTGCTCCCTTTCTTCCCGTTGCACCGCTGCCATTCGATTCATCATCTCTACACCGAGTTGGCGGGCATGTGCCATACGCTCCTCTGGCAACTGACGAGCATCCTCGATGGGATCAATAGTTGACGAAGACTGCTCACCAGAAGTTCGATTATTTCTCAAAGTGTGGGTTGATCTTGGTGGAGGTGGTGCAGATGTAGGTGGAGGTAGAGGTGATGCGGATGAATATGGAGGTGGAGGTGGTGCGAATGTATATCGAGGTGGGGGTGTTGCGCCTGTCGATGCTGGTGGTACTGCGGATGCTGATGTGGGTGTTGGTGTTGGTGCTTCGGTTGCTGGTGTTGAGGTTGGTGGTGCGGATGAAGGTGTTGATGGTGGTGCAGGTGCAGGTGCTGTTGATGATGATGGTACTGAAGATCCTTCAGGATCAACAGAATCTTCAGCGGGGTAGCGATCGGCCAAAGATTTTCGGATCATCAATTGATCTACTTCCGTAGGTGTCAAGTACGTAGTTTTGGGACCATCGATCCAATGGCATCCATTAAATCAGCGACGTTTGATCTTCTATATGATCGAATGCCATTTTCCTCCATGTTGACGCTTTCGTAAATTACGTCCAGTTGGATGCTAGGATTATCCTGAGTGATCTTGGCAATTTCTTCATAGTGCGGTACGTCTGGGACAGTTCCACCAACTCCTGTTTCTCCTGCTCCGGTAAATATGCCTTTCTTGTCTTTCAACTTGCGTTGCATACTGAGATGCGTGACATTTGCTATGAATTCCCTGATTGCATCGGTGGTCGCATATTCAGCCATCTTTTCTTTGAAGAGAGCTGCCGAATGAACCCAGATAAACTGTTTCAAGGCAATATCTCCTCTTCTCAACAAGTGATTGTAGGTGCCTGCCATGATCTCAAGAAGGATACAAATAGCAACCTCAGGCCATAATTTGTATGGACGTGAAGGCCCATTGTCATCTTCGACATCAGCGTTGTTTTTCTCAGCTTGGGCATTGCTGTTGTTGACAGGAGTGGTACTGTGCTGAACAGTAGGGTCAACAAACACAAAGGTGCCAGCGTGTCTGCCACATCCGCGTATACCTCCACGTCCATTTTCACGACCACGTCCGCGACCACGTACGTTGTTTGGTGTGTTGTTAATTGCTTCAGTGTTGTTCATAGTGAAGTAAGCGATAAAAAGTAGTAATAAAGTAAAAGGGAGGGGAAAAAAATGTGGATTTAAAACCTTTTGTTATTTTAGCATTTCCTTTTCAAGCGAATAATTTTGAATGTACCTTGACTTTGATCAGATTTTTATTTCCAAACATATACGTATGTGTTATTATAAATTGGTAGTTGGTTTAATGTGGTTTATGTAGGAGTTTGTAAAGTTTGTAGTGAGCACCAAATCAAGTTATTAGGTTTGATTACGCCTTTTTATGAGTAGTAAATAAAGTAGGCTTTAGGAAGATAGTAATACTGTTTGAACGTTTACGTCAAGTTGAGTATAAGGATAAGAAATCAATAGTTTTGATTTAGGATGATAGAGAAATTATGTCTTCAAAAGTAGAAGAATAATATATAAGAGTTAAGAGATGGTTTTCTTAGACTGTTTGAAGTATGTATGTTTCTTTTATCAGATGTCTACTATACAAGGTCTAATAATTTAGAGAACGTTTCTTTTGACAGAGCTTTTGTTATAAATTAGAATAAACAAAATAGATGGAGGAACTTAATCTCGACTGTTTAAAGTATGTAGGTTTCTTATTACAGAGGTTTACTATACAAGATCGTGCTATATATTGAAGGTTTCTTGTTACAGATGTTTTTTAATATGTAAATAAAAGAGAAGAAAAAAAAAGGAAGAAAAGAAGAAATAAAAAATAAAGAGCGATAAACGACTCTGAAAAAATAGATGTTAAATTGAGATAAGAGAAGTCTGAATTTTATTATTTGAATTTTGGAAGGATATCTATATTTGTTATAAGGGCTTTTGTGACCACATGTTGTTTTTGATAAGGAATTTAAAGGGTGTCACAAAGTCACAGTCTGAATCTTTACAGTGTGTTATTTTGCCCATTTTTAGATCGCTTTTTCAAGGACTTCTTTTACTATTTTTGTAGAAAAACCGGGCAATTTATTTTCGGTTTCCGATCTTGAGAGCACCTAATGTTATTCGCTTAGGTCATCCTGCTTTGATGGCACTATTATTTCACTGGTTATTTCACGAATGTAGAGGTCATTATTCTACGCTAGGACGAAATGAGAATGTGACAGATGAACAAGGCCATGTGATGGAAGAACAATACGAAGGGGTAGCTACCGCCAGCCTTTTCTATATGTTAGCTCAATATTGCAAGACCCAACTGTTAAAAGCGGATCGTCGCTTTTCCAAAGACCCCAACTTTCTTTTTTGGGCGAAGGATGTCATTGAAAAACAAAATATCCATTCTGCCAATCGCCATACGTTGCGAACAAGTCGACAGCCCACACGGCGCCAAGATGTGATGGATGGTGAAGGTAATTTCCGTGATAATCGAGAGACGATTGTACCCCATACAATCCGCTCATCCTATGCTTATCACCGACGGCATTATCTCAATTTGAAAGCGATTTGTGAGCAATTGGTTCCACCCCAGTTATTTTTAACCTTTAGTTTGTCGTGAGTCCATTATGTCATCAATCCGCTAATCGGCGATTGTAACTTAATACACATAACCAACCGCAGCAATCGTATTTACTACCTTACGAACCAATACAATTGTAGTTACTCCGGATTGACAATTGTAAAACATACAAATAGCTTCAATTATCAATCAATAAACATTATCTTTATTCTCCTCTAAGAAGTTATTCACATAAGTCAAGACAGACCTAACCCTTCTGGCTCGGTATTTAAGCACCGTCTTCAAGCTTATTTTAAGTTGTGATGACCTGTCCCCCAAATTCAAGCATGCTACCGGATCCGAGGAGCCATGCACAGATCCCGTTATTTTTGCTGGCCTATACCGACCCAAATGGACCCTTTTTTTTTCCTACTACATCATGACGCGCTGGGGACCCAGTATTGGAGATATTCGTGATTGGAGTTATGTACTTGAAATTGAAGGTAAAAAAAAAAAAAAGTGAAGCCACAAGGTGAAACTAACCAACCCACCCCCTCTTCATGTTTAGATAGAGGAAGCTTCCACATGCATGTGGTACTTTGGACTCATCGTACGGCCCAAGAACTTTTGATGGATGAAAATATTGTCTATCCCCGTTTACCACCCATTGACGATCCTCTCTATCCGTTGGTAAGGCCTCTTCAAATCCATCGGTGCAATATCCGATATTGCCAGGACAGCAATCCCATGAGTCCATGCCGATTTCATTACCCCAAGGAACCGGTGGAGGAGGCCTACACCGAAAACGATAAATGTCATTACCGTCGCACCGAGGCGGATGTGTATGTCAATCCTTACTGACCATTTTTGTTGGCCATGTTTGAATGTAATATGGATATCCAGGTCAATCTGGGCCAAGCTGCCATGTACTATTTGGCAAAATACCTCACCAAAACTGACCACGATGTGGAATTTAGCCTTGCAAAAGGATGAGAAGGACGTCGCCGACAAGACAAAATCACGGCTTTTGAACATACGAAATCGCGTGTGGTAGGTACAGTAGAAGCGGTGTATGATGTACTGGGATTACAAAAACATCGTTCCTCGCGTCAAGTAGAGTTTACCCCCACCAATACCAACGACAGTTGCGATCGGACTTAGAGGGTTTGGATGAAGACGAGACGGATATTTACAGCACCAGTGTCTTGGAAAAATATTAGGCGTGCAAAGGCGGTGTCTACTTGACATTTCCTCACTTTGTTTGCTTTTATTACGAAGTGTACGATAGCATTCAAAAACGACGTTGGCTAGCCATGACACAGACGATGCACACTGTCGCATACCATGATGTGCCATTACCAAAGGCCATCAAATCAAAGGACAGTGTGTTTGGACTCATCCTCAAGGACACTCCCCGCGTATAGCGTACTCATTATACAAAGGCATGTCAGGATAGTGAAGGATATTATTAACATCAAGTGGTGACCCGTAACCCTGTATTCGGAACGACGTTTTAAGCTGCTAAAACATAACGATTAAGACCTACCAGTGGTAGTGGTAAAAAGTGAAGGTGATGGTAATAATAAGAACACAAACAACAACACCGGCAATGGTGGTACGTCGAAGAAGTATATTATCAACCTCGTGGAAGGAGGAGAGATCGAAATGACAGAAGGCGGTGAAGTACCCAGACGATGACAGGCGAGCGTATCCGTGAGTATGAAGGCATGTACAATACACTCTTGACCCCACAGCAGGACCTCATTTATCGGCAAATCCTGCATCATCTCACCGCGACGTACCACTTTGTGATTGTCGCAGCTGGTACCGTTTCATGCTACTTGCTGGCAAAATTGCATACCTACTACCGTCAACACGGTTATCACGTGGAACGATTAGCTCCCACAGGCGTTGCTGCTTACAACATTTACGGCGAGACCATCCATCGATTTATGGGGATGACGAATGAGCGTAACGAAGTGAACAAGCTCAAGCTCAATGACCATGTCAAGCTGTACCGAACGTCGGTGTTCCTCGTGGACAAATTCTCCATGATTTCTGTCGAGATACTCCGTCATATCTCATCCGCCTTTATCGAAGTGACAAATCGCAATGCCCCGTTTGGAGGAGTCCAGTTTGTGTTTTTTGGCGATGTTCGACAATTACTAACTGTCGAAGCTGAGCAAGGGTATATATGGCAATCATCTCCATGGCACTATGGTAACAAGCTGCAATTGACGCAACCCATTCGTCAAGAGGGACATTCAGACTATGCGGGTATCCTTAATAAGATTCGCGTTTACGATTTGGACCCCCACGTGGTTCATTTCATTCGTCAATGTTGCTATGACAAGGAGATATTCTCTCTCATGCCATTCGACTCTATATCACGCGCCACCTGGCAAACCTGGAAAATGCGCGCATGATTGATGCCTTACCAGGAGTCCGTAGCCGACATGATGCCGTAGACTATCCCCCTAACAACCCGATGGCAACGAGCATTCTCAACCCGGAAAGGAGACTTCCCAAGATGTTATTGCTCAAGAAGGACATCACCGTGATGCTCACGCACAATCTCGATGTCGAACACGGATGGACGAATGGATATTTGGCCGTGGTGGAAGAGGTATGTGATGGGGATTATATTCGACTTCGACATTTGTCCCATGGCTACAGCCGGGTAATTGGTAAGGTAAGTGATTATGTCTATGATACCGTCTATAGTAGGACACAATTTCCCTTTGTATTAGCGATGGCCTCGACTGTCCATAAGGTCCAAAGCTTGAAGTTACCGGCAGTAGCAATTTTCTTGCCAGACATGCCTTCCCATGGTAAATTCTACGTGGCTCTAAGCCGTGTGCCACGTCCGCAAGACGTGTACCGCTTTGGTTTGACCCCTACCGACGATACCAACGTCCGTCTGCGTGCCAATTGTGATGCCATCGAGATCATGAAGCGCTTGTTCTTAAATAGATAGAACAAAAAAAAGAAAAGGAAAAGGAAAATGTGGAACTACATTCAGACATGACACACATACCTTTAAACATACCCATATATACATATATACCCACAATTTTCTCTCTCTCTCCCTTGACTTTTTTCTTTATTTATCAATATTATAATAATTGTTTTGACTTTGCAGTATATACCATATTTAGTAATTCGGACTGTTCTTATTATTTTTGCGCGGCCAAGCGAAGCGCAGGTCGAAGCAACAGCATGTAAGAGCATAATAAACACCTACTGGGCTGGGAGGGGCTGTAAGTCCCGATCAACACGGTACATAAAACATTGAGTGAAAAAAATAATGATTAGCATTGTGTGAACTGGGAGGGGCTGTAAGTCCCCACCTACACAGTACATAAAACATGGAGTGAAAAAATAATCATTAGCATTGAGTGAGCTGCGAGGGGCTGTAAATCCCGACCAACACAATGCATAAAACACTGAGTGAAAAAAAATTGATTAGTATTGAGTGAGCTCGGAGGGGCTGTAAGTCTCGACCAAGGCCAAACTCTTTCTTTTGCAGCAATTGTCTGATCAAACCCGTTTTCACACACGGTCAACTTTATGTTGCTTTATCACGGGTCCGTAACCTTGCTAATCTCAAAGTAATCTTACTGAAAGAGCCGCCATTTTCAACACTCACAGACAACGTTGTATTTACTGAAGTACTATTTAGAACACAAAATGGAATATAAATTATTCATTATCAATAAAATGTATTTTTGTCCCATTTATAAACATTGATTGGCGTCGGTGGCCCGCTGCAGGCGCGAGATCGCCCCCAGCTCGAACGTAGGTTATTTTTACCGTAGCCAAGCGAAGGTCAAAAAATTACCGAAGTGGGCTGGGCCGCGATCTCGTCTTTTTAATAAAAAGACATGGCCGACATGGAACTATTTTAAAAATATGCTCTCTCTGCCAGTCCGCTGTCGGGTTGGTCCCGAACCCTGGATATGTCCGTGGTCTGAGTTTAGAGTTGCTCTTATTTGACCCGTTGGTCCCGACCCCTTTTTGGTTTGCTTCAGGTTTGGTCCCGAACCTTTGGTTAAGCTTAAAAAGTGATGTGCCGTAAAAATGGCAAGTGAATATCTTTAATGGCTGTGAATACCCTTTAAATGGCTTTGTAAATGGCTGTGAATACGTACCCTTATTTCTGAGATTCAGCACTACTGATAAACCAATCGAATATAACATGGGTAAAAGGGTTATGCTCTAATTTAACATGGGAAGAAAGGGAAGGGGTGATAGAAAGATCCATTTTAACATGGCAAACAAAGTGTTTGAATAAAAAGCCCTGGGGGTTTTTTTTGGGTTTTCTGTCTTTTTTTTTTGTCCTCCCTTACACAAAAACAATGGATCCTTTTGACCCCGCTACCTTTGACGTAGACGAATTCCTTGGATCCTATGCCAATGAACTACCCGAAATTAACTGGATAGACTACCTGGATCCGCTGCCAGAGGGTGAGGAAGAACGACCAGCGTTGGAAGAAGAGGAAGGACAAGGAGAAGAGGGAGAAGAAGCAGAAGAGTTAGAAGAAGAAGAACGGCCCTTGTTTACAAGTGTCGATGATGTGCGATTCCAAATGGGAAACGTCCTACAGGAGATCAACCGTATGTATGGGGAGAGAGGACTGGCGGTCGTGGATGAGGTGTTGTTCGATGTTCGTGCTGATAGGGCATTGGAAGCGGCGGTAGAGAAAATTCGAGGTGAGCTGGTGACGATGCCCGTTGTAGTCGCAGCAGCAGGAGGAGGAGGGTTAGACGAGGTAGCAGGGAGCTTGCTTCGCTGGCATGGCTATTGTGCGGCCGCTCCCAGAGGCCAAAAATATCTCTATTGGGCGCAGTTGTTGTCGTTGGTGGAGGAAAACGTCGTAAACGGGATGAAGGGGATGTGTCGGGTTCACCGCTGGTTCGACTTCTTGGCTGGAAGAGCAGCAAGTACTTCCGGATTATGCGCTGCTTACGGCGCTTACAATGGTTGGTAGCGTGAGTGGGACGTTCGGGGCTGCTATTGATGGTCGAAAAAGTACCGTTCAGTGTGGTAGAAGGTGCGAATGATACGGTGTGGCAAGGGTGGCAAGAGACCATTGCTCAAGATAGGCACCTTGCGTTTATGAATACGGTGGAGTTTTAGTGTTGCTTTTCGATTTTTCTTTTCATTTAAATATATATACAGTCTAGTTTTTCGTTTCTCTAATATAGTCTAGTTTTGGTTGTTTATCAAATAATGGGGTTTTTATTGTAAAAAAAAATTGAAAAAAAGCGAACAGAGCGCAAGGGGACATCCTTGAGTAAAAATTATAAAAAAAAAATGAAAAAAAAGAAAAGAGAGCCATCAAAGCTCAAGAGACATCCTTGAGTATAATAAAAATAGAAAAAAAAAGCAGGTTCAAAGAGACATCCTTGAGTATAGTAAAAAATAAAAATAAAAAAAAAAGCGAACAGAGCGCAAGGGACATCCTTGAGTATAAAATAAAATAAAAAAAAAAAACCTAGTCGAGCATGGGCTCTTGTTGATGGTGGTGTTGTTGTTGTTGTTGTTGTTGTTCGGGGGATGGAGGAGGAGGTGGAAGAGGCACAACGAGAGGCGAGTCATCCATGTTCGTCTTCATATTGACGGCAGGGTAGGTACCCAACACAACTTCCTTCACCGTGGTCTTTTTGGTACCGGGGCGCAAGCTGCTTCTTGTTTCCAAGGTCGCGTCTTGGATCGAGACAGGTGGGGAGACGGCACCGGGTCCAATGATCATGTCCTCTTGGTGAAGACGCTCGTAGAGGGAGATGAGTTTTTCGGCGAACACAACTTTGTCCCCGAGGGAGGTCTCACAGTTTTCCCATTCTTGGAGGCAATATAGGTGAATTAAAAATTCCAATTTCTTGGATGTGGTGGTGGTGGGAGTATCGGTGACTTGTATGGCATCGGAAGGCGTGGTGCTACGATCGACACTGACGGGTTCGATTAATGTCGGCCTAACTCTGATGCTTAACATCGCCCGCGTGGAAGTTTGGGAAATGTAGGCTGATGCGGAAAAGACGCCTGTAATATGGTGGTAACTGCCCGGCAGCATGTTTTTAATCATGTAGTGGATGAATGGGTAGCCGCTAGCGTAAATGGTAAAATTCATGCCCGCCATGGATAAACGGGTGGAGGCAGTAATGCGCGTACCATCGACCTTGATGTTAGCGAAGTCATAAGCGCGAGCAAATGGGGCGTTGATTTCGATTTGACGACGGCGGGCGTTGATTTCCATTCGATGACGGCGGGCGTTGATTTCCATTGGACAACAGCAATTATAGGTGAAAAAAACAAAAAAAAAGAAGAAAAAAAAAAGGCGGTTGGAAGAAGAAAAAAAAGGTGTGTGGTTTACAAAAAAAAAAAGGGTGGTTTACCAAGAGGAAAGGAACAGGTGGTTTACAAGAGGTTTAAAAAAAATATAAAAAAAAAAGAAGGTAATAGAAAAAAACCAGGGTTTGTTTAAGAAAAGAAAAAAAAACAGTAGTTCAAGAAAAAGTAGTTCGTTTCAGAAAAAGTGCGCCGTTGTGTTCGAGTAAGTAAAGAAAAAATGGAAAAAAACAGAAATGAGGGATGGAAAAAAAAAGAAAATGAGGAAATGGCGGGGGAGGATGTGTGAAATGGGGCTGCTTATATAAGCAAACCACTCCTATGAAATCGATAGGAATGGTTTCAACCAATGAGCGCGAAGACAACTCCTATCGAAGTCATAGGAATTGGCGCTATCCAATGAGAGCATAGAGTTGACTCCTATCGAAGTCATAGGAATTGGGCCCATCCAATGAGAGCAAAGGAGTCGACTCCTACCAAAGTTATAGGAATGACCTTACGTGTGACGAGAGTCCTATAGACGCCATAGGAATTGGTTCATCCAATGAGAGCAGGGGTGTGCTCCTATAGCAGCCATAGGAATTCGTGTTATCCAAGGAGAGCAACCCTCCATTCCTGTGCGTGACTGGCCTCCATGGAGGGCCAGTCACACTTATCCTTGTTTTTGTCTTATATCAGCTACACCCACCAGTGAGAGCAGGGATGTACTCCTATCGAAGTCATAGGAATTGGGCCCATCCAATGAGAGCAAAGGAGTCGACTCCTACCAAAGTGCTAGGAATGACCTCACGCGTGACAGGAGTCCTATAGACACCATAGGAATCGGTTCATCCAATGAGAGCAGGGGTGTGGTCCTATGGAAGCCATAGGAATTCATGTCATCCAATGAGAGAAGGGTGTGGTCCTATGGAAGCCATAGGAATGACGAGAGCAGGGGTGTACTCCTATAGAAGCCATAGGAATGTGTGTCCTCCAATGAGAGCAAGGCTGTGGTCCTATAGAAGCCATAGGAATTCGTGTCATCCAATGAGAGGAGCCCTCCTATCCTGTGCGTGACGGGCCCTACATGTAGGGCCAGTCACACTGATCCTTGTTTTTGTCTTATATCAGCTGCACCCACCAGTGAGAGCAGGGATGTACTCCTATAGAAGCCATAGGAATTATGTCCTATAGAAGCCATAGGAAGTCGGGTCATCCATGAGAGCATGGGCTGTGCTCCTATGGAAGCCATAGGAATCCGTCTCATCCAATGAGAGCAGCCCTCCTATCCTGTGCGTGACGGGCCCTCCATGGAGGGACAGTCACACTCATCCTTGTTTTTCCCTGATATCAGCTTCAGCTGGGATGTACTCCTATAGAAGCCATAGGAGTTATGTTCCTATGGAAGCCATAGGAAGTCGGGTCATACAATGAGAGCAAGGCTGTGGTCCTATGGAAGCCATAGGAATTCGTGTCATCCAATAAGAGCAGCCCTCCTATCCTGTGCGTGACGGGCCCTACATGTAGGGCCAGTCACACTGATCCTTGTTTTTGTCTTATATCAGCTGCACCCACCAGTGAGAGCAGGGATTTACTCCTATAGAAGCCACAGGAATTATGTCCTATAGAAGCCATAGGAATTATGTCCTATAGAAGCCATAGGAATCGTGTCATCCAATGACAGCAAGGCTGTTGTCCTATAGAAGTCATAGGAATTTGTGTCATCCAATGAGAGGAGCCCTCCTATCCTGTGCGTGACGGGCCCTACATGTAGGGCCCGTCACACTGATCCTTGTTTTTGTCTATATCAGCTGCACCCACCAGTGAGAGCAGGGATGTACTCCTATAGAAGCCATAGGAATTATGTCCTATAGAAGCCATAGGAAGTCGGGTCATCCATGAGAGCAGGGGCTGTGCTCCTATGGAAGCCATAGGAATTCGTCTCATCCAATGAGAGCAGCCCTCCTATCCTGTGCGTGACGGGCCCTCCATGGAGGGCCTGTCACACTGATCCTTGTTTTTCGCTGATATCAGCTTCGGCTGGGATGTACTCCTATAGAAGCCATGGAATTATGACTCTTACAACAGGCCATAGGAATTCCTGTCATCCAATGAGAGAAGACCTCCCTCCCTGCGCGTGACGGTGCTTCCAGGGAGGGTCGGTCAAACTCATCCTTGTTTTTCTGATATCAGCTCCACCTACCGATGGTGTGCTGGTGCCTTCTACCAATGATAGCAGGGATGTACGGGGTGTACTCTATAGAAGCCATAGGAATCGGTTCATCCAATGCGAGGAGCCCTCCTATCCAGCGCGTCACGGTGCCACCAGGGAGTGCCTTGTTTTCCTTGTACTCCAATAGAAGCCATAGAATTATAACTCCTATAGAAGCCATAGGCTTACATCAGCTTCACGAATACCTTGAATGAGGGTGAACTTTTTTTTTTGACTTCGGAGCAACGTCATACGCTTCGAGTTGTGGATTGGCGGAAAAATATAATTTTTTTGAACAATAAAAAAACAAAAAAAAAACAAAAAGACGAAATTTTTTTCTTCAAGTTCATCTTGGAGTCTCAGGCCTTGACATGCAGCGTATCTCGAGCTCTCAGTGGGTCCTGGAGTTTATCAAGACGGGCCTCTAGTTTTTCTCTAGTTTATCTAGACGGGCCTCTAGTTTGTCTCTAGTTTGTGTAGACGAGCTTCTAGTTAGAGACGTGAGACTTCGAGTTTGAGACGTCGAGGTTAGGAAGTTCATTTGACTCAGAAGAAGGAACTCGTTTTCATCATGGTTTATTTCCATTGGGCAATGGTGCCGCCAACGCTGCAAGATGATAATTTTTTTTCAGGCCACTTGTTTCTGTAATGGTATGAGTAAGGTTTTGCTTCGCAAGAGTGTTATAGGAATGCCAGAATTCGGAGGGGGGAGCGCTTAGCAGTAGACAAACTTTTATTTAAATAAAAACCATGGTATATGTTTATTTAACAAAAATGCTGTACATATTCATGAGGCGGCACGGGCATGAACGCCATGTGTAGTTAAACAGGCAAGGCCTCTGGGGATTTCTTCGTTGAACCTTCGAAAGGGAGGGGTATTTCAGGTTTAGGTGTAAGTCGTGGGATTAATACAACAGGTTTTCTTTTTGAGGCCAGTTCATCCAGAAAAATTCGTTGGCGACAACTAGGTGCACTACCCACTAGGACAGGGGTTCCTATATGACTAGGTACACCACATGACTAAGTACACTACATGTTTATGGTTAGGAGAGTGTGCGTCAAAGGGGGGGGGGGGGCGGGGGGGTTCTCCCCCCCTGCCGGTGGGGGTTTGCGAGGGGGGGAACGCCCCCCGCGACACGGTTATTTATTAGTAACTAATATGTCAGTCGGAGTAATCTGAGTATTAAATGTCCGGTCCGGAATCCTATGAGAGTCATAGGACGGCCAATCAAATTTCACGCTGAGTTCTATGAATCTCATAGGACTCGAGTCCTATAATTTTCATAGGACTGAGATTCCTATGAAATCCATAGGAATGCTTTCAAAGCCCGATTCCTATGACTTTCATAGGACTGGGGGAGGAGGGCAGGATTTCAATGACAGATGATCATCGACCATAGGGTATAGCGTATTTTTTTTTATGGACGCGTAAAGTAGGAACATATTAAAGTACGTTGGCAGCTTTTAATTACCTTGTTTGCCGTCTTGTTTTATTTATTTTTGGCATGAAAAAAAAAAGCGTACACCCACGAAAAAAAAAAAAAAAACAAATGACTTGGGATAATTTCTCGCTCTTTTTTTTTTTCTTTTCCCTTTTTTTTTATTCTGTTTTTTTTTTCTTTAATGTCCAACCCATTTACCGCTGTTGAAAGAGATCGTATTGAGGCGTTCCACGCCTTTTGCATGCAAAGACCAGACAGCCACTGTGCTGTCTGTTGTGAGATTTTGTACCCGGAGGAGGTGTACTTGAACTACGCCCAAGTGAGAGAAGGCGATAGGTGGCCTTGTGAAAATGACAACATACCACCGATACGACGACGACGACCAAGACGACCTTCAAGAGAGGATGATGATGATGAAGAAGAAGAAGACGACGTCGACGACAACAACAACAATAACAACAACAACCGCAACAACAACAACAACAACAACAACAACCGCAACAACAACAACAACAACAACAGTAACAACAACAACAACAACAACGAAGAAGAAGAAGAAGGGATTGTGGTTTGCAAAAAACATAGGACCACCGAACCAGGAGAGACGACGACGATGATACCGTATGCAGGAGATATACCCCCCTCGGTGATGGAACTGAATTATCGAGAACGTTCCATGCTTTCGCCTGTCAAATTGATGACACAGATGACCCGCAGGCGGACGATAGTGAATGGCAGAATAGGCCATTATGAGATGAAAAGATCTATTTACCTGAAGCATAGCTATGAATTTGCCAATGTGGTATTTGGAGGCATGCTTGGATTAAATTTTCGACGCGGTGTACCCGATCATGTCGACATGGAGCAGGTGCAACGTGCCTATAGTGATTTGTGTGTAACCCACCCGTTGTTAGCGCAATACGGACACACCACAACAAGGGAGGATGTGGAAAATATCGTGGAATATCACATCCGTGAGAACAATCAGCATGTGCGAGTGAATGATCATTGGCGTGATCAAATCTTAATGCCCAGTGAAGGCGTGAATCCCAATGCGGCCACGGTGCCACTAAACAACTTGATTATGGGTAAGAGAGAACGAAAAAAAAAATCAAAAATACAGTGAGTACTTAACCGGTGTGTGTTCAGGTCATGATGTGAATGAGAATGTGATTCGCTTGGGTCATCCTGCTTTGATGGCGCTGTTATTTCCCTGGTTATTTCCCCAATGTAGAGGTCATTATTCGATGGTGGGACGAAATGAGGATGTGACCGATGGACAAGGCCATGTGATGGAAGAACAACACGGAGGGGTAGCTATCGACAGCCGTTTTTATACCTTAGGTCAATATTGCAAGACCCAACTGCTCAAGGCGGATCGTCGGTTTGCGAGAGACCCCAATTTTCTTTTTTGGGCGATGGACATCATTGAAAAACAGAATATCCATTCTGCTAATCGCCATACGGTGCGAACAAGTCGAAGAGCGACACGGCGCCAAGATGTGATGGATGGTGAAGGTAATTTCCGTGAGAATCGAGTGACGATTGTACCCCATACCATCCGCTCCTCCTATGCCTATCATCGACGGCATTATCTCCATTTGAAAGCGATGTGTGAGCAATTGGGTCCACCCCAATTATTTTTAACCTTTAGTTGCGATGACTTGTCCCCCCAATTCAAGCATGCTACCGGATCAGAGGAGCCATGGACAGATCCTGTTATTTTTGCCGGTCAATACCGACGTAAGTGGACGCGCTTTTTTTCCTACTACATCATGAAGCGCTGGGGACCCAGTATTGGAGGTATTCGTGATTGGAGTTACGTACTTGAAATTCAAGGTAAAAAAAAAAAAAAAAAAGCCACAAGGTGAAACTAACCAACCCACCCCCTCTCCCATGTTTAGATAGAGGAAGCCCCCACATGCATGTGGTACTTTGGACACATCGTACGGCCCAAGAACTGTTGATGGATGAAAACATTGTCTGTGCCCGTTTACCACCTGTAGACGATCCTCTCTATCCGTTGGTAAGCCGTCATCAAATCCATCGCTGCAATATCCGATATTGCCAAGACAGCAATCCCGTAAAGCCATGTCGATTTCATTATCCCAAGGAACCGGTGGAGGAAGCCTACATCGAAAACGATCAATGTCATTACCGTCGCACGGCGGCCGATGTGTACGTCAATCCGTACTGTCCATTTTTGTTGGCCATGTTTGAATGCAATATGGATATCCAGGTCAATCTGGGCCAAGCTGCCATGTACTATTTGGCCAAATACCTCACCAAAACCGACCATGATGTGGAATTTAGCCTCGAAGAAGAAGGAGGAGGAAGAGGACGTCGCCGACTCGACACGATGACGGCGTTTGAACATACAAAATCGCGTATGGTAGGTGCAGTAGAAGCGGTGTATGATGTGCTGGGATTTCAAAAACATCGTTCCTCGCGTCAAGTGGAATTTATCCCCACGAATTTACCCTATCAAAATCAACGCCAGTTGCGATCGGACTTACGGGCTTTGGATGACGACGAGACGGATATTTACAGTACCAGTATCCTTGAAAAATATGAGGCCCGTGAAGGCGGTGCCCACTTGACATTACCTCAGTTTGTTTGCTTTTATTACGAGGTGTTTGGTAGCGTTCAAAAACGACGGTGGCTAGGCATGACCCAGACGATGCATACCGTTGCCTACCACGATGTACCCTTACCCAAGGCCATCAAATCAAAGGACAGGGTATTTCGACTCATCCTGAAGGACACTCCCCGCGTATGGCGTACCCATTATACAAAGGCATGTCAGGATAGTGAAGGATATTATTACCAGCAAGTGGTGACCCGTATTCCTGTATTTGGAACGACGTTTGAAGCGGCTAAAACGCAACGATTAAGACCTACCAGTGGTGGTAGTAACACCAACAACAACAACAACAACAACAACAACAACAACAACAACAACAACAACAACACCAACACCAACCATACCAGTAGTGGTGGCGGTACTTGGAAGGAGTATTTTATCAGCCTCGTGGAAGGAGGAGAGATTGAGATGACAGAAGGCGGTGAAGTACCTCAGACAATGACAGGCGAGCGTATCCGTGAGTATGAAGCCATGTACAATACCCCCTTGACCCCACAGCAAGACCTTGTTTTTCGGCAAATTGTGGATCATCTCAGCGCGACGTACCACTTTGTGATTGGCGCTGCCGGAACCGGTAAATCCTACTTGCTTGCCAAATTGCATACCTATTACCGTCAACACGGTTACCATGTGGAACGATTAGCACCCACCGGTGTTGCTGCTTACAACATTTACGGCGAGACCATCCATCGATTTATGGGGATGACAAATGAGCGTAACGAAGTGAACAAGCTCAAGCTCAATGACCATGTCAAGCTGTACCGAAAGTCGGTGTTTTTAGTGGATGAATTCTCGATGATTTCTGTCGACATGCTCCACCATATCTCCTCCACCTTGATCGAAGTGACGAATCGCAATGCCCCGTTTGGAGGAATCCATTTTGTGTTTTTTGGCGATATAGGCCAATTACTGCCGGTCGAAGCAGAGAAAGAAGGAGGTTATATCTGGCGATCCCCCCTCTGGCACTACGGTCACAAACTGCAATTGACCCAACCCATTCGTCAAGAGGGCTATGCAGACTATGCCGCTATTCTCAATCAGATTCGCGTCTACGAGTTGAACCCGCACGTGGTGGAGTTTATTCGACAACGTTGCTATGACAAGCGTGATATTCCCCGGCATGCCATTCGACTCTATACCACGCGCCACCTCGCGCACCTGGAAAATGCCCGCATGATGGATGCTTTACCGGGCGATCATAGCCGACATGATGCCGTCGATTATCCCCCTCACAACCCGATGGCCACGCGCATTCTCGACCTGGAAACGCGACTTCCCAAGATGCTATTGCTCAAGAAGGACATCACCGTGATGCTCACCCACAATCTCGATGTCGAACACGGATGGACGAATGGCTGTTTGGCGGTGGTAGAAGAGGTCTGTGATGACGATTACATTCGATTACGACATTTGACCCATGGCTACAGCCGGGTGATTGGTAAGGTAAGTGATTATGTCTATGATACGATTTATAGTAGGACACAATTTCCGTTTGTATTGGCGATGGCTTCCACTGTCCACAAGGTCCAAAGCTTGACGTTACCGGCGGTGGCAATTTTCTTGCAAGACATGCCCTCCCATGGCGAATTTTATGTGGCTCTTAGCCGTGTGCGACGTCCCCAAGACGTGTACCTCTTTGGTTTGACCCCTAACGACGAGACGAACGTCCGTGTCCGTGCCAATTGTGATGCCATCGAGATCATGAATCGCTTGTTATTAAACAGATAGAAAAGGAAAAAAAAAAGGAGACATTGAAACACGTATTTCAGACCATGACTATACACATCTTCTATGTTTTTTAAACATATCTCTATGACATCCCTATCAATACTGTATATACGTTTCTTTCTCTCTCTCTCTCTCTCTTTCCCTCTCTCTTTCTTTTTAATAATAAAAACATACCGGGCCCACCCATCAATAATCTCTCTCTTTTCTTTTCCACACCGTGTGATGTCCTTTTGTCGATCAGTTCGCGGTTAGCATGCTCCCGAACCCCTTGATCGGTCCGTGGTCTCCGTTCGACGCGCTCTTGTTCGACGTCGTTGGTCCCGACCTCCCTCGTAAGTTCGCGACCGGTGTGGTCCCGAACCTTTGGATAAAGCTTAAATATGGATGTGGCGTAAAGAATGGCAAGTGAATACCCTGAATGGCCTGTCAAGGCCTGATAGGTGATAGACGATCCAATTTAACATGGGAAAACAAGGAGATGGGTGATAGACGATTCAATTTAACATGGGAAAAAAACGGATGGGATGCGTCATTCTTTCATTTAACATAGTGAACATGGCCAAAAAAAACGGATGGGATGAGTCATTCTTTCATTTAACATAGTGAACATGGGGAAAAAACGGAGGGGATGAGTCATTCTTTCATTTCACATAGGAAACAACGGATGGGATGCGTCATTCTTTCATTTAACATGGGAAAAAAAGGGAAGGGGTGATAGAAGATCCAATTTAACATGGCAAACAAAGGGTTTGAATAAAAAGCCCTGTTTTTGGGTTTTCTATTTTTTTTATATCCTCCCTTACACATAAACAACAATGGATCCTTTTGACCCCACTACCTTTAACGTAGAAGCATTCCTTGCATCTGATGCACCGGATATTAACGTGTTAGACTACCTCGATCCGTTACCAGAGGTTCAGGAAGAACAACCAGCAGCAGCGTTGGAAGAAGAGGAAGAAGAAGAAGAAGCTCCCTTCTTTACAGGAATCGATGATGTGCGATTCAAAATGGGAAACATCCTACGGGAGATTAACCGTATGTATGGGGAAAGAGGACTGGCGGTGGTAGATGAGGTGTTGTTTGATGTTCGTGGTGACAGGGCATTGGAAGCGGCGGCAGAGCGAATTCGAGGTGAGCTGCTGACGATGCCGGTGGTAGTCGCTCCAGGAAGAGAAGGAGGGTTAGACGAGGTAGCTGGGAGCTTGCTTCGCTGGCATGGGTATTGTGCGGCCGCTGCCAGTGGCCAAAAATATCTTTATTGGGCGCAGCTGTTGAGGTTGGTGGAGGAAAACGTGGAAAACGGGATGGTGGGAATGCGCTGGGGTTCGCCGCTGGCACTACGTCTTGGCTGGAAGAGGAGCAAGTACTTCCGGGTCGTGCGCTCCTTACGGCGTTTACAATGGTTGGTGGAGCAGGTGGGACGTTCGGGGCTCCTGTTGATGGTGGAGAAGGTACCGTTTAATGTGGTAGAAGGTGCCAATGATACGGTGTGGCAAGGATGGCAAGACACCATTCGTCAAGATAGACACCTTGCGTTTATGAATACGGTGGAGTTTTAGTGTTGCTTTTCGTTTTTTCTTTTTCATTGAAATATATAATATAGTCTCTTTTCTTTTTCATCCTTATAGTCTAGTTTGGGTTGCTTATCAAATGATGGTTTTTATTGAAAAAAATTTTAAAAAAAGCAAACAGAGCGCAAGGGGGACATCCTTGAGTAAAAATAAAAATGAAAAAATAGCCATTCAATCTCAAAGAGACATCCTTGAGTATAATAATAAAAAAAAAAAGCAGGTTCAAAGAGACATCCTTGAGTATAATAATAAAAAAAAAGAGCAGGTTCAAAGAGACATCCTTGAGTATAGAAAAAAAATATAAAAAAAAAGCGAACAGAGCGCAAGGGACATCCTTGAGTATAAAATAAAAAAAAAAACCTAGTCGAGCATGGGCTCTTGGGCATGGTGTTGTTGTTGTTGTTGTTGTTAGGGGGATGGAGGAGGAGGTGGTGGGAGAGGCACAACGAGAGGCGAGTCATCGATGTTCGTCTTCATGTTGACGGCAGGGTAGGTCCCCAACACAACTTCCTTTACCGTGGTCTTTTTGGTGCCGGGGCGCAAGCTGCTTCGAGTTTCCAACGTAGCGTCTTGAATCGAGACGGGAGGGGAGACGGCACCAGGTCCAATAATCATCTCCTGTTGGAGGAGACAGTCGTACAGGGAGAGGAGCTTTTCCGCAAAGGCGACTTTATCCCCGCGGGAGGTTTGGCAATTGTCCCATTCTTGGAGACAGAAGAGGTGAATTAAAAATTCCAATTTTTTGGTGGTGTTGGAGGTGGTAGTGGTGCTGCTGCTGTTGTTGTTGTTGTTGTTGCTGGTGGTGGTAGTGGTCGAATCCGCCACTTGGATGGCGTCGGCGGGGGTGGTGCTACGATCCACGGTTATGGGTGCAAGGAGGGTGGGGCTAACACGGATGCTTAACATGGCCCTTGTGGAGGTCTGGGAGATATACGCGGATGCCGAAAAGACGCCAGTTACCCGATGGTAACTACCCGGGAGCATGTTTTTAATCATGTAGTGAACAAAGTGGTAGTTGCTGGCGTATATTGTAAAATTTAAACCGGCCATCGCCAAACGTGCCGAAGCACTAATCCGCGTTCCATCCACTTTGAGATTGGGCAGATCGTAGGCTCGCGCAAGAGGGGCATTGATTTCCATTTGATGACAGCAAAGATAGGTGAAGAAAAAAAAAAAAGAAGAAGAAAAAAAAAAAGGGTGTGTTTAGAAGAAGAAAAAAAAACGCTGGTTTAGAGAAGAAAAAAAAAGAAGGTAATAGAAAAAAAAAAGAAGGTAATAGAAAAAAAAAAAGAAGGTAATAGAAAAAAAAACTGTAGGTTCAAAGAAAAAAAAAAGTAGTTCGTTTCAGTAAAAGTGCGCGGTTGTGTGTCAAGTAAGTAAAGAAAAAATGGAAATGAGGTTTGGAAAAAAAAAAATTAAGAAAATGAGGAAATGGCGGGGGAGGATGTGCGAAAAGGGGCTGCTTATATAAGCAACTCAGTCCTATGAAATCGATAGGAATCGTTTCAACCAATGAGCGGGCGGACAACTCCTATGGAAGTCATAGGAATTAGCTCTATCCAATGAGAGCATAGAGTTGATTCCTATCGAAGTCATAGGAATTGGGCCCATCCAATAAGAGCAAAGGAGTCGACTCCTACCAAAGTTATAGGAATGACCTTACGTGTGACGAGAGTCCTATAGACGCCATAGGAATTGGTTCATCCAATGAGAGCAGGGGTGTGCTCCTATAGCAGCCATAGGAATTCGTGTTATCCAAGGAGAGCAACCCTCCATTCCTGTGCGTGACTGGCCTCCATGGAGGGCCAGTCACACTTATCCTTGTTTTTGTCTTATATCAGCTACACCCACCAGTGAGAGCAGGGATGTACTCCTATCGAAGTCATAGGAATTGGGCCCATCCAATGAGAGCAAAGGAGTCGACTCCTACCAAAGTGCTAGGAATGACCTCACGCGTGACAGGAGTCCTATAGACACCATAGGAATCGGTTCATCCAATGAGAGCAGGGGTGTGGTCCTATGGAAGCCATAGGAATTCATGTCATCCAATGAGAGAAGGGTGTGGTCCTATGGAAGCCATAGGAATGACGAGAGCAGGGGTGTACTCCTATAGAAGCCATAGGAATGTGTGTCCTCCAATGAGAGCAAGGCTGTGGTCCTATAGAAGCCATAGGAATTCGTGTCATCCAATGAGAGGAGCCCTCCTATCCTGTGCGTGACGGGCCCTACATGTAGGGCCAGTCACACTGATCCTTGTTTTTCGCTGATATCAGCTTCGGCTGGGATGTACTCCTATAGAAGCCATACGAGTTATGTTCCTATAGAAGCCATAGGAAGTCGTGTCATCCAATGAGAGCAAGGCTGTGGTCCTATGGAAGCCATAGGAATTCGTGTCATCCAATGAGAGCAGCCCTCCTATCCTGTGCGTGACGGGCCCTCCATGGAGGGCCTGTCACACTGATCCTTGTTTTTCGCTGATATCAGCTTCGGCAGGGATGTACTCCTATAGAAGCCATAGGAATTATGTCCTATAGAAGCCATAGGAATCGTGTCATCCAATGACAGCAAGGCTGTGGTCCTATAGAAGTCATAGGAATTCGTGTCATCCAATGAGAGGAGCCCTGCTACCCTGTGCGTGACGGGCCCTACATGTAGGGCCAGTCACACTTGTTTTTCCCTGATATCAGCTTCAGCTGGGATGTACTCCTATAGAAGCCATACGAGTTATGTTCCTATAGAAGCCATAGGAAGTCGTGTCATCCAATGAGAGCAAGGCTGTGGTCCTATGGAAGCCATAGGAATTCGTGTCATCCAATGAGAGCAGCCCTCCTATCCTGTGCGTGACGGGCCCTACATGTAGGGCCAGTCACACTGATCCTTGTTTTTGTCTTATATCAGCTGCACCCACCAGTGAGAGCAGGGATGTACTCCTATAGAAGCCATAGGAATTATGTCCTATAGAAGCCATAGGAATTATGTCCTATAGAAGCCATAGGAATCGTGTCATCCAATGACAGTAAGGCTGTTGTCCTATAGAAGTCATAGGAATTCGTGTCATCCAATGAGAGGAGCCCTCCTATCCAGCGCGTCACGGTGCCACCAGGGAGTGCCTTGTTTTCCTTGTACCCAATAGAAGCCATAGAATTATAACTCCTATAGGCTTACATCAGCTTCACGAATACCTTGAATGAGGGTGAACTTTTTTTTTGACTTCAGGAGCAACGTCATACGCTTCGAGTTGTGGATTGGCGGAAAAATATAATTTTTTTGAACAATAAAAAAACAAAAAAAAAAAAAGGCGAAATTTTTTTCTTCAAGTTCATCTTGAAGTCTCAGGCCTTGACATGCAGCGTATCTCGAGCTCTCAGTGGGTCCTGGAGTTTATCAAGACGGGCCTCTAGTTTGTCTCTACTGTACAGCATAAAATGTAGATCTATTTCCATTTGGTTTGTCGGTGTGGTTCACTGCTACTTTACACACAAGCAAGAAGGTGAAGAAAATTTTTGGCTATCGTTGAAGTAATGAAGCAGCAGCAATTCGACGCTCACAATGTTGTGACAGTTGCTCGGAATTCCAGGGGTGACAGATACAAGAAGTACGCTGTTATTTCCATTACAGACATTCTCCAAGTGGTTGGTCTTGTACGGTATTCCGATTCCGCTAACTTTTTCAAGGTTGTTTGGCCGTACATTAAATATACTGACAAGGTTAATCATCTTCCTGCTGGTTCTTTAGCTGATTTGTAGGTTGGTCGTATCTTTCTCTGTTTTGCGTAGACAAGTTTTATTGTAATTAAACTCTCTTCAACAATTCTTCTAATGGAGTGATTACTATTTTATTCAATCTGATGTGTTAATTGGCAATGCTTGTAAAAGAAAAAAATTCAAAAAATAGCAAAGAAAAGAAAAAATTAAATAAAAAATTATATTCCGATGGTTGCGTATTTTATCCACCATGTTGCGTCTTTCCGCAACGTGTCGCGGTATTCCACTACCGGGTCCGCGGTGTAGCAAAAGTAGGCTTTAAGAGGATAGTTTTGCAGAAAAAAAGGTAGAAAAAAACAATAGGATCAATTAGAATTCTTGTCAGAGTTTATTGATGTTAAAGTTAACTAAAGATTTAAGAAGAGGAAAAATAAAGAGTATTTATAATAAATGGAATGGACGAGGCTGAGGATACTACTCTTAACAATATGAGTATGCTATCAATAACAATATCTATATTGGACAATTAGTGTTACGCATAGTCAATAGAGAAATAATAACAATAACATGTCTTAGGTTTGGACATTGGTGTTACGATACCGTGACACTTTAAAATAGTGACCGGCTTTAGCGAATTCCCTTTTTATGCCTGATCATGATTTAGCTATCATTTATCAGTGATCACAGCCGCGGACTCGGTAGCGGAAACCCGCAACATGGTGGATAAAACACGCAACCATCGGCATATAATTTTTTATTTATATTTATTTTTATTTTTCCCTTCCTTTCCTCTTTTTAAATTTTTTTCTTTTACAAGCACTGTCATTAGATCAATTGTTGAAAAGAATTTAATTATAATAAAACTTGTCTACGCATTACAGAGAAAGATACGACCAACTTACAAATCAGCTAAAGAACTAGCAGGATAATGATTAACCTTATGAGTATAGTTAATTTAAGGCAAACAAGCTTTATAAGAAGAATATAACTCTTCTTTGACCAATAAGGAGCAAATCCGTAGAAAAATGGATGATGTGCTTCTACAAAAAAGTGTTACAATCAGCTACTGTAGAAGATGTTTTAGCGTGATTCGCACTTTAAATAATTTGCTATAGATTAATAAATTTGTCCATTTAGTTTTCTCCCTTTTTTTCTCTTATAACTTTTTTTAAGGCAGCCCGGAATTCTGCTTCGTGTTGTAAGTGCTGTTATTTAAGTAATAGATACCGTAGATTATACAAACTAGGTAAATATGACATATGAAATACAAATTATTATTATGTCATTACACTTTAAAGTACCAAGAATTTATGTGTATACATTGTCATATGCTGAAGGTAATTATCATTTGAATTTCCAATACGGTTTTTCTAAAGAGTTGTAAAGATTTCGAGCCGTCTTTGGACTTGAAAAGCAGGTTTAGGCTGTGAAAAATTTTCAATTAGGCTATATTTTTTTCTTTAGGCTGTAAATTTTTCTTTTAGGCTGCAATTTTTTCTTTTAGGCTGCATTTGTTTTTAGGCTGATAAAATGATTTGGTCTATATACTGCTACATCTCGCGGGACTCTCGAATGTTACCTGTATCTTTATGCGGCTGTTTGGCAAGTAAGGTGTTAATTGGGCCCGTTAATAGTAAGTGCAAGAAGTATTATGGAGGTAAGTGCAAGAAGTATTACAGAGGTAAGTGTACCTTATCAATTTGGAGATGATATGTACAAAAATTATAATAAATAAAGTAAAATACGAAATAAAAATTGAATAAAATAAAACGTTTTCATTTAAACCCTGCTTTTTTATTATATAATGTATTTCTTGATAGCACAACAGTATAAAGGTTCATCAGCATCAATAATAATATAGTTAAAATGATGTGATAACGTACGTACTACGTTTTGAGTGAAAGGACGCTTTATTATGGTAAAAAGACGCATCAAGTGGAATTTAGTAGCTACTAGAAGTGGTATAAATACGCAACATGCGGAAGAAACCCGCAACACTAGGTGGTAAAAACACGCAGCATGTAGCAAAAACCCGCAACATTAGGTGGTATAATTTTGGAGTTTTACCACATCCGGTGGTAAACGAACCACAATTCCGCAACATTCGGTGGTATAAAATGGACGTTTTTACCACCAAATGTTGCGGGTTTTTACCACATGTTGCGGGTTTTTACCACCCAGTCCGCCACTGTGGATGATGAGATATGAATTTATTATATGTACAATCTGTCATGAACTCATTTCATCATGTCCTAGATCATGCCTTGATTTTAAACCCTTGTGAAACCTTGTCCTAAAATCTAATATCAGTATACCTTGTCCGCTACCAAACTCCCTGTAAAACCTTGTACCCAAAATAATATCAGTATACCTTGTCCGCTACCAAACTCCCTGTAAAACCTTGTACCCAAAATAATATCAGTATACCTTGTCCGCTACCAAACTCCCTGTAAAACCTTGTACCCAAAATCATATCTGCATATCTTGCCCGCTTCCTGAATTCCTTGTAAAACCTACCACCAATCTGTATTCCAATATATTTCCCGCCTCTTGTCTGACTCAACCTTAGTAAACCTTTTTCCGATCATCTATTACTTCATATCCCAATCAAGTTTTCCCGCCCGTGTCAAATCAGAGATATTCCCCGAACCATCTAATTATTCAATGTCAACTAAATCCAGCCTGCTATTACTCGTCGAATCTCAATTACTCATCCTTGTCAAATAATCTGCTCATGATATCTGTTCCGTAAAGTCCCTTGTTAATCTATAATTTAAACCCATCGTAGCTTTTCCCATGTATAAGAAATAGTATAAATAGATGCTAGTTATTTATTAGAAAAACGTTATTCTGGATCTTAGTCCTAACCCCTCCCCCTTCTCTGAAATAAACTTCCTTATTTATCATTTTTACTCTGACTCTCGTGTCACCAAGTAGTCTTCGTTCTGTTCTTGTTCTGTTTCTGACACAATCTCTATGTGTGATTTAGCACACGGGGCTGTGATAGTGTTTACAATTTTTAGTGGATCTTATACTCAACTATGATTCTGATTGAATTATAGTTTGTGGTAAAGTGTACTGGTTTACACAGAAAAACTAAAACAAATTAAACCATAAATCCAGTGTGGTTTTATTCTAGGTTAAAAAGTTAAAACTAAACTAAAAGACAAGTATCTCTCTAGAAACTTAACTATCTGTATTAATTGGAAGATATTAAATATTTATAATTGTGACAAGCTGTTACTGTGCTTATCATTGTTTTATGATTGAAAAACTAGATTTTGTGAATGTTATAAATAACTGAGGATGTGTCTCAGTATAATTAAAATAGGTATATTTGGATCCCAAAACACTCTGTAGGGTAGCACATAGTATTCGATTTCTGTTTCTGTATTGTAAGATTTTGTCCTGTTCTCCGACCAATGGTTGTATAGGAATAAAGATATTTTACCGATTTTCTTTTTCCTTCCGCCAAACTGAATGGCTAAAACTAGTTTCACAATGCGAAGTTCTTTGTTTAACTCTTTATTAATAAGCTGGATATGCTATCAAGAACATGGGGTTTTGATAATAAACAAACAGTAATTAAGTTTCTTTCAATAGTGATATATTCAAGGAAGAATATACATGTTTTATTTATTCCATTGCACGTAATATACTGATTGAAAGTAAAAAGTACTTGTTAATTGTAAAAATGGACTATGCTATTGTGGATAATCCTGACTAAACGATTTTGATTGTGATTTTAATATTTAAAGAGTCACGGGCTGTTTAATTAGCTCTTCCATGTTATACCAAAATGTATGTCAGCATTCGGCATTACATAAAGCATTACGGAAGTAAACACAGATTTTTTTTTTATTGTAAATGCGAATATTCTTTGTTGCTTAGTTCATGTCATTCTATTTTGGCACATTTCTTGTACGCTATGGTCCTCGAAGTCATTTAATTTTGGAGGAAGTAAACGTATCAAATGTACATTACATTAACGTCTATTGCGACTAACTTTAGGTATAATTGACGTAATTAGCAGTTTCAAAACAAAGTACAATACGTGTAACATTAAGATCGAAATCCTAACGAAGCAATTGAGAAAGTCTTGCAGACCTGTCTCACAAATCAGAAATTGTCAAAACAAAAAAACTATTCAAGTATCGATTTTAGAATTTATTTTTTATTTTCCCTCTTTTTCTACTTCTTTTCATTATTATAACGTGGCTGAAGATACTGCTAAGGATGACATGTGGACCACTGCATTGCCAGCTCGTCCCGGTTCTGATCTGCTCACTAGGATGCTGTCCAATGATAACTACGTAAAGGATATTGTAGTCAAGGCCGTCATTGGGAAAGGTATCTGCGGAGATGCGCAGTATGTTGGCTCTGAAGAGAGGCACGATGGGAGGAGGAATGATGTCGTCTATTATCCTTTGGCAACACCTTCGGAAGAGCTTTGTTCTGTTATTATGGAAATCCAAATGAATGTCACGAAGGAGTTTGTTTCGTATGTGGTACAGACACACTAGCATGAAACAGCCATTATACGTAGCTCAAAACTGTCGGGCGCGCATTTTTTCGATTTTTAAAAGTTATGTTGATCGATGAGTTTTAGTGATAAAAATAAACCAAAAATACGGATAGATAGGGTAGACGTCAGACTATTGGAAACAATTGTAAACGCCCTGGTTACAAATTGATTGAAAGAGTTAAATTAAAAAAACGGTTAAAAGTGCCATTGTTGGTTGTGATACATTGTTAAGATGACAAATATAACCGGGTTTACTCAATTTGAATATGATGTATTGAAGAGAGCGCGCAAAACCAATTATTGGTCGAGAAAGACGCGTTAAAAGATGACTGTTGTTAATACGGGTGGAATTTGAAAGAGAAGGTGGCGATATATTGTCGTGGGGAAAAAAATTAATTTTTTTAATCATTTTTGAACATTTTCATCATTCTTCTTTTTTTGAATCTTTTTTTTGTCTTTTTCTCTTTTTCTTTTAAATGTTTGCAATCAAAACAAAGCTAACCAAACTATTCAAGATGTTCGAGAGGCAGAACAAGGGGATGAAAGATAAAACAAAGGATAATACACGAGAATATACGCTTGTTTTCTGAAAGCATAATTTCAGATTATAAAGTCGTGATGTACGATTCAAAGTGAATATGCACCATGGACAAGTGGGCAAGATTATGTGCATTGAAATAAAAACAAATATAGACGGGATATCTTGGTCTGAATAGATGAAGAACAGGGTAGAGGGTATGGATGAAAGAAGAGTTGGTTGGCTAACGACGGTTTTTTCTGTGGGAAGACCGACTGTATATGTTTGGTGTGTTGCCTGACAGTCGGTGTTGATGTCTTTACCATTAGATGGAGTAATCACAAGCAGAGGATAAGCAACGACAAGGGGATGATGCGATTTGACTGGAATGAGAACCATGGAAGGTGCACTGCCAGTAAGAGAGACACGATGTGATCACTAAATGAAAGTGTTGACAATAGTAGAACGACGTCAAGTACACTAGAGAGAATATACTTGTAGTAGCAGAAGTGCAGCAAAAAGGGAAGACAGTCAGGATACCATACCTTCAGAGTATAATCGCTTACATTTTGTGGTAACAAAAGTAACAATGCAGAGAGGGAATAGCATGGAAAGCCATAGAAATAAAGAAAATAACGTGTAAAAAAAAAGTAGACTTATTTTGGTTTTTTGTTAATCTCCTTTTTGAAATTGTGGATGTGTGATTGGTGCGTTCTAGTGGATCTATATAATTTAGATGAAGATAAAAGTTGTCCGGTATCCTTTTCTTTTGTTTTTTTTTAGAACCAAGAATCATGGACTCAACCGATAAGCAAAACATTATCGATATTATTAATAAGGCGTTAGCCGTTAACCCTGTTCGTACTATCGACGACATCCATAATATCATGGACGAAACAGGTCTACAAATGGCACAAATTTGCCATTACATTGTTTACTTGGGTGCGAATACTAGTGTTGGCTTCGAGCGCAGCCCAGAGCCGATGCCGGTAAAAGACATGATTGACTCCAATCATTTTTTGGTGGACCCGGAATTTCGTTCCGCGTACCTGAAGAGATGGGAATTAGATAGCCAAACGGCTAATACCAGTATTACTTCTGGAGAGGTTCCAGCATTGACTGGTAAAGAATTTTGTGTTGCTGATCTTGAAGAAGATCATCATGATCAAGGACAGGATGTTATTGATCTTGTTGATTCTGATAGAGAAGGTAGTACAGAATCAATGATTATCATTGAGGTTAACGAAGGGAGAGCGGTGGATGTAGAGGATGTGATAGACGCTGTTTTGGTGGAAGAAAGACGGGAATGACCAGACGATTATTAAAAAATAACTATGTCGGCGATTTGACAATATTATCGAATAGGGCTAACGAGTTGGACCAACTAACCCACCATATTGGTACAGGTGAAGCATTTGACCAATTGTTAGAGTTACCAACCTTGAATGACTTTACTTTGGACTTGCGTGAAATGAAAAGAACAATTAGTACCAGGTCTCAATTGGGGTATTCTTTTAAAATCATTACCTGTCTGTATCACTACTTGCTGTTTACAGAATACCATGTATTCAAGGGATTCAATGAATGGGAGTCCATGGAGATCACAGTGCTTAATGATGCTGATCCAGTAGGTTTTATGGATTGTAGAACGCGTGGTGAGCGTGTGTTTCGTGTCTTTCAGTTGTTGGGAATGGCAGGTATTTTGGCTGTAGAAGTAATGACGGCCAAAGCATACTCCAGATACCACCGAAGTTTTGAAGAACAATTGGAGATGTTGATGAAACATCTGTTGGCGGTTCTCATGCGTGGATTAAGTCTTCCTGCGGTTAGCTGGATCTATCGAAATATCCAACAAAAACTTGTTGTTTTAAACGAAATACTTTCGGAGATAGATGTTGCGGGTAACATCAATGGGAAGATAATTTTACAGACCTATAGTTTGATTTAAGACTCCAGTACAGTAGTCGCTCGATTTAAGGGTGACCAAAAATCTCGGAAATCTCACCCTAAAATAGAAAATACCCTTAAATCGAAAATCGTGACTATTTTAAACAGAAGTCACTACGCCATTTTTAACCGTGAAATATGATCATTACTGCGAAATATTTATTTTTATTCGGACATTCAATAAATTTGATCAAAAAGTTAGAAAAAAGTCAAAAATACACTGTCAAATCGTTCGATTTAAGGGTATGGGGAATTGGAATCTCACCCTTAAATAGAATAGTGGTTTAGTGGTGTTAATGCTGGGGACGGAAGCTGTTTTTCCAAAATCCACCCTTAAATAGAAAATACCCTTAAATCGAACACCCTTAAATCGAGCGACTACTGTAGCTTTTTTTTATTTTATCTTTTATATTTACACATTCTTTGGTTAATAAAATTATGTATTTCATCATTGTTGATTTACTTTATTCGAGTGTGGTAACCAATTGTTGCTACTCCTCGCCATAATCCCCGAGTCCGTCTCATACCAGATTCGCGTACTTGATTGTGATCATTTGGTAACTTTAATAAGCATTCTCTAAAGTACCGGATGCGGACAAATATCGAGCCAGAGTTTCCGAAGTCCACCCTACATTTATTTGTCTACAATTGTAGACTACGCCTTGAAAATAAAATTGTATGTGGTTCCTTGTTGTATAGTATATTCTGTTAAGTTTCGCTTGTTTATTGGGGCTATATTTTGGTAACTCCAGTTTGTTATCCGTCTAAATCATAAAAATCTGAGAATTCCCGTCCGTTATCCGTCAAAATCCCATAAGTCTGCGTACTCTGGTCCGTTATCCCTCAAAATCCGTTGACTTTAGGGTACTCCGGTCCGTTATCCCTGAAAATCCGTTGACTTTAAGGCACTCCGGTCCGTTATCCGTTGTTATGCGATAATTCAGATAATTCTGGTCTATTATCCCTACAGATCCGATACTTAAGGGTTCCCTGATTACATTAAACTAATGACCAAAATACATTATAAGAAATTAGAAACGGTTCCGAAATGGTTCAAGCATTCTGAACTTGTATGAGAATTATCTGACCTAATTTCACATATAAGATAAGTCGCAAACCATATCAGAACATCCTTAGACGTGTGCTGAATTTCAAAAACGTATATACAGTGCCCTCAAAAGTATCGTAACCGTTTAAGGTTTTCGTATTTTGTGAAATGACATCACATACTGATTCACAGGGAGACTTTCCAAACATTTTTATTTTTCTGTTTTTTGTTATTATTAAGTTATGGATCCGGTTAACAGCGCTTCATAGGAAATATATAAGATATTATCACTCTTATAAGATGTTAAACCCTTTTTTTCCATAACCTTTACTGAAACATTTTTATTCAAATCATGTTACACATTTTGAGTCTACCACATTTTTGTTTAGTTCAATGCTTCTCTAATGGTATCACTGCTTTGAAGACTGGTTCCAGTATTGGCGTTTTTAACAGAGCTATAAACAAAACTAATCATGATAACTCGTTCAATTAGCGGGCCTGTGAGGAGTGGATCGAGGCAAGAGCAGAACAGAATAATTATTATGGGGAGGACAAAAGAAACAGACATTATATATCTATAAGTATTGATACTTATAAAATGGATGAGAGTAGAAAACGTTTAATTGAAAGAAAAAAAATAGATAAGATCTTGAATACAGAAATATGAACAAATAAACATGATTACAGTAACAGAGGAGTGTGTGGTGACCTAGCAAGGATATAGCCATATTAGAGCTAACAAAGGTTTATCCATGCTGATACCATTTGTGATATAAGCTTTACAATAAATGTCACAGTATGAACTATAAGGATGTTACATCACAAGTCTTACTTGGTACGTCTAAGAAATGTTTAAAATTTAGTTTAAAGCAAAGAGAGTTAAGAAGACTTAACATATATTGGAACAAGACTAAATTAGTGACTATGTAATAATTGTATACATTTTTGGTTAATCTATCATAACTTCAAGATAGCACTAGAAATATGAACACAGAAGACAGTCTTTTATATAAATACTGGTACATTTCATTTATTATTAAAAGACAATCTTATAATCAGTCTCAAACTACTCCGATAGTCTTTTTATAATTTTACTTTTCCTTAAAACACAACATTTACTAAGCAGTACGATACATATTTAAAGCTGTGTATTCCAAGTATATATTCATATATTCGAAAGGGTAATCAGGAATTGACAAAGTAGTGGTAACACAATACAAACCCAAAAAGCGGTCAATCGTACATTTCTGGAACATGGAAAGAAGTGAAATATACTTGAAATACGGATCCAGCAAAGGGAAAATTAATCGATGACGTATTCAAGATAATTCCTCACTATAAAACCAAGAAAATAACAATATCAACAAATATTATTTTCCTGACACACTTTTAAGTATCCTACATTCTACAGATAGCTAAAAAAACTATCTCTTACACTGCTATCAAAATTTATAGAAAAAAAAATTAATTTTGTCCGAAGCCGAAAGCTATTAGAAAAAATGCATTAGTGCTGCTGAAATCGTAAAATTCATATATGAAGAGATAGTCATGCGTTTCTCATGTCCTGTTGAAATTGTTACGGATCGTGGTGCTAACTTTATGTCCAAGATATTGAAGCAATATATGGCAAAAATCAAGACACACCATATTTTTACCAGTGCTTTTCACCCTCGGACAAATTCGAAATGTGAACGACTGAACCAGACCTTCAAACATATGCTTACCAAATATGTCAAAGGTGAAGTACACAGTTGGGATGAATTTCTTGAATCTGCACTTTTCGCTTGTCGAATCCGCAAGCACGCTACCACTGGGCTTAGTCCGTTTTTTATGACATACGGTGTAAATCCAATCTTGCCGGGTGACACTCTAAGACCATTTATGGACCCTTTCACTGAAGAAGACCCGGAACTGATCGCTGAAGATGCATTAACCCATCTGCGTTACTTGCGAGAGCATCGTTTTGAAGCGGAAGATAAGCTGAAAGTTCAAGCCGAAAAGGACAAAGAAAAATGGGATGCCTTGCTTAAAGGTCAGCAAACACAAGCGTTCGAAATTAACGATTATGTCATGCTTCGACATGAAAACAAAAAAGGTCTTGAATTTAACTGGATGGGCCCTTACCAAGTAATCAAGCATAATCTGGACTTCAACACATATCAAATCAAGGAAGTGGATGGCAAGGTTTATTCTTCTTGGGTTCATACAGACCGTCTTCATCCGGTAAAATATGATGGATCCCCTATCGAAAAATCATGGTATATTCCCAGAACAGCTCGAGCAAAAGAGAAATAGCGATTTTTTTTTCCCTACATGAGGCTCTTTTTGGGAAGGGGGTATTGTCGTGAGTCCATTATGTCATCAATCCGCTAATCGGCGATTGTAACTTAATACACATAACCAACCGCAGCAATCGTATTTACTACCTTACGAACCAATACAATTGTAGTTACTCCGGATTGACAATTGTAAAACATATAAATAGCTTCAATTATCAATCAATAAACATGATCTTTATTCTCCTCTAAGAAGTTATTCACATAAGTCAAGACAGACCTAACCCTTCTGACTCGGTATTTAAGCACCGTCCTCAAGCTTATTTTATGGTGGAGTAGCTGCTCTTTCCTCGAGCCTCGTTCCTTCTTAGCGCTGCTATTCTGATCACTCGTCGAGTGTGTACGCTCGGGGTCGAGCTTTTCTAAGCCCCCCCATGTATCCCCCCTCCTCCGTATTCGTACGATGTCTTGGTACTGTCTCAGCACTCGTAGAATAGGTTAACAGAATCCTCTAGACTTCTATACACTCTACTCTCAAATAGCCTATTACTTCTCTACTCTAGCTAATCCAGGAATAGGCTCATGCAACTCACTTATCAATATAACTGTAATCACCTGCTGTACAGGCAATATAGGCTTCGTCCATCGGTCCCTCCTGCCATCGTCGGCAATATCCAACCTGGACCCTTTCATACATCTCTATCGTATCCACTGGCTATATTACTGTACACTTTGTTTGCAACCCTTATGCAATCTGCTGCTAAGGCTTAACTCGATTACAACCAATATTATAACTATCGTTAAAACGTCTACTTCCTAACATGCCACATCTATGTCTACTCTTCCAAAGGATCTCGCACACTTGCACTGACTTCGTTATAATGTCCCCAACGATATCTCTCAACACTTCATG